GCAATGGTCTCCCACCAAAGCGATGGCCTCCCACCTAATAGCGATGGTCTCCAACATGTTAGCGATGGCCTCCCGGCTAATAGCGATGGTCTCCAACATATTAGCGAAAGCCTTCAACCTAATAGGGATGGTCTCCAACATATTAGCGAAAGCCTCCAACCTAATAGGGATGGTCTCCAACCTAGCATATAGTTGTGACATGTTGTGGCCTTCGTTATGGTGTCATGGAGCCCGTGGTACTTGTGTTCTACTTTTGTGTAGAACACGGCACGGAAATGAGGAACAAATTTGTATAAAATTGCAACATGTACCGTATGGGCAGGGGCATTGAGGGTGGGGGTTGGGAAGAACACGGACATGATGAGGAGTGCTTCTTGTAGAACATCGACACCATTAAGAACGCTTTTGTCCCTTGCCCTAAGGCCTATAAGTCAGTTGTACAGCTAAACGCAACATACTCAAGATAAACTGTGTATGACTGGAATGCCCCTTCCAGAGCGACCTGACCTTTCAGAGCTGACCTTGTAGTGCCACCAGGGAGACGTTTTCAACCACGTGTTCAAGCACTAATAAAACCATCGAATCGAGTTGGGCCCAGGCTCGTGTTTCTTTCAATCTGATTTGACACTGTGGGCAAAGATGCCACTATAAGAGAGGAATGACTGGTTGAGAGACCGACATGCAAAAGTTACAACAATTCAATTCCTGCGTTTGGGGAGGGAAACAACTATGAAGCCACCCCCATCAGCACCTCCTGTGATCAGAACCGGCTAACCCAACTAACATCAACCAACATCTGGTCGGTTCGTCCACAAGCACCAGAGATCACCAGTGCTTCGCTCCCCACCGCTCCCCAAGGTCCTGCAAGGGGGACCACATTGATGAAGACAGCGGGTGTACGCCAGGAGAGCTCACGGATCCTCAAAGCCACGGTGAGAAAAGTCGGTTCAAAAAGCCCAGGACCCAAGATGACCCAAGGACTAGGAGCAAGAAGCTACTAGGGGCTCCTGGCATCGCTACTAGGAGCAAGGACGCTACTAGGGGCTCCTGGCCTTACTACTACGTAGGAGCAAGAAGCTACTAGGGGCTACTGGTCTAATTCCAGGTCAGTACCTTCAAGGATCAGTTCTGATTGCAAAGGCACATCAGTGGTGGAGCCAGCTGTGTTGCGGTCAGGAGCCATCAATTGCTGCCGCTTACAAGAGTAGACTTGAAGAATTCTAAGGCGCACACTGATGAAACATCGTAATGAGCACTGCTGAAGAGTTCCAGTTGGTTGCCCTCAGGGATGGATTAAGAGTTCTCTGGTCAATGTCCATATATAAATGTCGCTTCATTGATCCATTATATCCTTTTCTAGGGGACGGGAGTGCCAGTAGCTTTTGGCCATCTCCATTGTCTGGAACCCTCGGGCCTCATTAAATCCTCCTTGAGCAAAGCGAGCATTCTGAGGTCGGCGTCCTGCTGTGGGCTACGAGCGCTGCTTGTTTCGTGACACGGCTAGACCAACACCTGTACCCGTGCGAGAAGAAGGAAGCAACGTGACTGTCAAGTCTCACTACGATGGACAACATTGACCTTGAAACCACCAGTGTACGTGAAAAAGTTATACATGGAGTGTCTGGATGTGTCTGGGATATGTAAAATTCCGAATTCCTCTGCAGATCTCATATCGTTGTGTACGCGGATGTATCGATGTACCGTCCATTCTGCAGAGTACACCTAGCAAATCGTCTTGCCAGAGGCCGACGTACGTGACATGAAAGCGATGACTTGGCGGAGGCTGAACTGGATGCAAGCGACCAATATCCCAAGTCTGGAACTTTGTCTTTGTCTAGCAACTAACAAGCAAAGTCTTAGAATTTCACAGCTTTCTTTCCGATGAAGCAAGCACTTGAATGGAGATCTCAAATGAGTCTCAGGATCAGTCCAATGTGCCTGCTCTACTCGCAAGACCGCTGCCATGGCCAGCCGTCCCAACGCGTACGAGCGGACGAGATAGGACAAAACCAACAAAATGTTGATCAAATGTTCGCGAATTGGTGCAGGTCATTCATGTGATTCAAATGTATGGTATGACCACTGGAGACTTTGCCTCTTCCTCTTTCTCCGGGTTGTGGGGTTCTGGAGCCCGCACTGCGCAAGAAGGAGAGACGCTCATGGCGTGGCTCACGACATGGCTCACGGAGGCACCAGCAAAACGGCCAGGAACATGTCAAATTGAGTTAAATAGGAATATATATATATATATATAGGAATGGCCTCCAACCTAATAACGATGGCCTCCATGCTAAGTGCGATGGCCTCCATCCTAACATATAATTAGCGATGGCCTTCTTTGAGTGACATTGATGGTGCCTTTGTAAATTGCTACCTCTTTTCCTGACGATGGGTAGCGCACGAACCCCCAGTGGGATTTGGCCGGTCTCAAGCGGCGACCCTTAGAGCTGGTGTTGAGATAAAACACTTCTTCCATTACTAATCAAGGTGTCCCTGAGGCCCTGAATCCTGAAAAGAACGGCTTTGGCTTTGGCATTAAGCATTGAACACGTGATTTGATCCGTTGGGGTTGCAGCAACTCAAAGAACGAACACGGAGAAGAAAGAATCACTCTGTCAGGCCCAACACCCCCTGAAGAAAGTTGAAGTTGGCATCCTACAACATCGATCTGGCACCTTAGAGAAGCAAAGCTGCATTGATTGGGTCGCAGTAATAGTGTGATAGTAATGTGCAACGGCTTCGGTCATGAGCTCCTGCATGGATGACATGGAAACCTCACCATACTCTCACATGACCGTGTTTGTTGGCTCAGGGGCCCCTTTTTTCTAGCTCACGACTTGAGCACCTTGGTGCATCGCCGCGCCTGCCATAAATCGATGCTTTGTGTGCCGTGCCGCTTCGACTTCGTTCGATCGAGCCCAACCTTTTGTGTTTGACGCTCTTGCGCCGCTTCGCTGGATTGGCAGCGGAGCACAAGCTCCGGGGCCTGACGGCCGGTGCTCCCTCCTGAGGAGCTTGGCATTGGCTGTCGCTCGCTTGCCTTCCTCTTAGGTGCCACTACTTGTTCTTGGAGCTCTACGGCTTTGGCCTTGGCACCTGGCTTGCTTGGGTTGGCCCTGCGCCTTTGGCTCATTGGGGACTACTTGGTTGACGCCTTCTTTGGTGCCTCAACTTGCTCTCTGAGCTCTTCGGCGAGTTCACCTGTGGCCTGTGGCTCAGGCATTTTGCCTGGCATGACGGAGAAAGACTCCGGACATCATGTCCCATCCTGGGACGGCAGTGCGAGGACGTGGAGGAAATACCATCGCGAAGTGAGCTGGTATGTCCGATCCACGCCAACACACAAACGACGATACTGCGCACATCGCCTTGTGGGGCGCCTCACTGGCCCTGCAAGGTTGCTTGCTATGTCATGGACATCCGTCAGCTTCGACCATGCTGGCGGAACTCGAGATTTCTTGCGCAGGTTGGCATCCTCTCCACTGGTGCGGCAATCGCTTCCCAATGCAGCTGCGATCTGCCAGCAATACTTCAGTTTCAGGCGAAACAGTGGAGAAAATATGCAAAGCTTCCTTGTCAGAGACGCTTTATGCTATGCTGAGTTCAGTGAGGCCATCATTAGACTCTACGAGGAAAAGAATGGCATCCAGCAGCACGACCTGGACTTCGATCTCCCGTGAGATGATGAGGAATGGGAACAAGAGGAACCATGGACCAGTTGGGGCTATGAAGATGAGGAGACACAAACCTCACCTGTGGGCTCCACACATGTAGCTGCTGCTGATAGTGGTTCGCCTCACGGGAACTATGCACGTGTGGCTACTTCGTCTTCACCTTCGAGACATTCAGCTGGAGTTCAATGGGACCTTCCTGGTGTCTCCGAGTTGAGCCTGGCTGACAGCTTCGTCCTTGGTGTCCTACGTGGCTTCCGTCTCTTGCAGGCCTCTGGACTGTCACCAGACGACATGCGAGACATCATCAGCACAACCAAGGGCAGCCTCGAGTTCGAGGTTGTCACCAAGGCCCTGCAGACTCTCTGGGACGACCAATTGGTTGGACGTCGCCATGCTGGTGGTTGGTCTCCTTCCAAGACCCATGAGGCCATGTTTGAAGAAGCAACCTCACCTTCTGATGATTGGTGGGATGACGCCAACGTGGCCCAGTATGATGACAACTATGATGACTGGTAGCAAGATGATGAAGAGTGGGGCTATGCCATCGAGGAGCACGAGGGCACGAAGGCCTCTGAGGAAGACGATGATGCGATAAAGGAGGCCCAGAAGGCAGAACAGATTGCTGAGGGCTTGGCAATGGAAGCCCAGCGCTCATGGGCTGAAGCTCAACGTGCCACACAGGCACTTCGGAAAGATCGCGGGTTTGGACATGTGATTGGAGGAGGCAAGGGGTCTTCTCCTACCAAGTGCTGGACCTGCGGCGGCCCGCATTTCTCCCGAGACTGTCCCGATCGACGGCA